GGAATCTGAGCCTGCTGGAAGCAGGGAGAGAGGAGCCAGCTCCAAACGGGAATCCGAGCCTGCTGGAAGCAGGGAGAGAGGAGCCAGCTCCAAACGGGAATCCGAGCCTGCTGGAAGCAGGGAGAGAGGAGCCAGCTCCAAAGGGGAATCCAAGCCTGCTGGAAGCAGGGAGAGAGGAGCCAGCTCCAAAGGGGAATCCAAGCCTGCTGGAAGCAGGGAGAGAGGAGCCAGCTCCAAAGGGGAATCCAAGCCTGCTGGAAGCAGGGAGGCCCGGCGGTTCCTGTCGGAGGAGGAGGAGAGTGACCCTGCAACCAGGGGCACAAAAACCAAATCCCAGCCTCCTGCCAGGGTGCCTTCCTCAAACAGCAAAGTGCCAAACAGACACAGCACCAGAATCCTGGGAATGGCAAAGGAGAAGCGAGGAGCAGACGCTGCAGAGCTGCCCAGGTACGAGCAGGCTTCCAAGTACTCCCTGAGGTCAGCCAGGAAGCCTTTCCCAGCCAAGCACTTCACCGAGGAATCCTCAGGCAAGGATGAGGGAGGGGGATCCAGTGATGATGATACCCCACTGCTGATCAGAAGGAAAAATAAATCTGTGTTAAAAGCGGGGCCTCAAAACTGCAGATCTCGCTCTGACTCTGACAGATCCCAGGATGGTGCAAACAAGACGTGGGGTGAGCCAAGGACAGGAAAAGCCTCCCGGAATGTGCCAGTGAGGCTGAGTGGGACCAGTGACGAGTCTGAGCTCACCACCGAAGGAAACACTCCTGCCAGTGGGTCCAGGGACTCCCTCCTGCCTGGGGAGGCTGTGAGGACACGGAGCAGAACCAACCCCCCCAGGTGGTGTCTGGATTTCGACAGCGAGCCCGAAACCAGCAAGGAGGAACTTCCCACGAAAGACAGGAATGCAAAAGTACCTGGTAAAAAACCAGGGGCTGGAGCTCCCAGCACTGCCAAGTCTGCAGCAGCCAGATCGAGAGAGCCTGAGAGGGCAAGGCAGCAGAAACCTCTGGAGCTTTTTCCCAGGGCAGCTGATGGTTGGTCTGAGAAGGAATTACAGAAGCTTTACAGGCAAGGGGTCGCTCTGTGTTCAGAGGGAACAGTTCCCGTCGGGCACCGGCAGGGTTGGGGTGGTCTGCTTTGGGATTTTCCAGATTCCCTCTCTTGCACGTGATTTTCAAGGGTTCCTTTATGTTTTAGTTCCCTCTTGTCCCCAAGTTAACCATCAGTGAAACAAAGGAGAAGCTGGGTATTCTCTACAATAGCTGGAGGTGTGAGCCTGCAGCAGCCCCTGTCACAGTGTGAAGGGAGAGGAGCACTGCTTAGGCAGGATTTTGTGAATCTACTCCTCTGCTGGTTTTCAAAACCACATATTTAATCTCGTTAAAAATAAAAACTCATTCCTATGAGTAACATTGAAAACCATGAGTAGGTAAATGACATGGTAGTATTTGTGTGTATGATGTGGACCATGGGTCAGAGGGGGCAGGTTCTGTCCCCAGACTGGAGTGACATGTTTAACGTGCCATGTTTATGTCAGCAGGTTTGGTGAAGGGGAGAGGAACTGCAGGAATGTGCATGTTCTAAGTGTCTGGAGGAGACACCAGAGGAAAAAATTCTTTGCAGAGAGGGTGCTCAGCCATTGGAATGGGCTGCCCAGGGAAGGGGTGGATTCTCCGTCCCTGGAGGT